ATCTGAAGCTTTAATTCTAATTCTACATAACGTAGCCATCCCTACTAAACGCTGGCTCGTTCAAAACAAAGCTGAAAAGGATAAACATAGTTTCTGCAAATATTCGTTGTTAAAGAATATGCTTGTTGTTTTTTGTTGTTTTTTGTTTTGTTTTTTTTTTCGTGTATTCTTTTAAAAAATGGAAGGAAAGAACGTTATTTTCATCTATTTTGATACGAAATATCCCAAAATAATGTTGCTAGAACTTTTACAAAATATTAGCTTGTGTGTATTCTTGTACGTGTCCTACCCATCCCCCCTTCCCTCCCCCTATTGGCTTAAAACAAAAGAGAGCTTGGTTAATGATAATAAAAAATAACATGCATATGCATGTATATATATCCAAATATGGTTTCCAGCCATCGGTAAGGTGCTGGCGCCATCGGCAGTGTGATTGAGATATGTTCTTCAGTATCTGCTACATCGCTATATATATTTGGAATTTTGTCTTTGGTAAAGTGTTCTTTTAATGATTGTCACTGTTATGGTGTGCCGAAGATTCATTCTATGATTCATGTTTATTATTATAACGGTAACTTTCGAATCGTGTTGCATTGCTTTAACGTAGTTTACTTCGTATTAAACGCCGCACTTAATTTTGACCATTCTTTATCAACTCATACAATTGAGTCTAAACATGAATGCAAAGCATATTTCCACAGTATGGTAGTCGTGACTCCTACACATTCGCGAGTGCTTTTTGTACATAGCCAACGGCGCAAGCACCTTGTCTATATATGGATTTTTAACCAAGTTCTATGAACTACTGCTATGTTAAGTGCACGATTAAGGGAGTCAACATTTAAGGCATGGTAGAGAAATAACCCGAGACGTGTCTCATCGTTTAAGAAAACATCCGAGTTGATATTTCATAAAAATGAAGCAACTTCATTTTGGGGTATATCTTATAGGAATCGCATCCAAAAAGATAAGAATAATGTTCTACGTGGCATAGCATTCTTCGATTTTTGAAAAACAAGCATATTCTTTTAAATCTAATATTTTTAGAAACTGTGTTTACCTGTTACAGATTTGTTTTGGTGGATGGCATTACAACATAAGTGCCGAGGGCTCTCGGTGAACAAATCACCAAAATGTTAAAGAGCCAGCGTTTAGAAGGGGTGGTTATGTTACTGTTGTGTGTAGAAATATATCAAAGTTTCAGCTTGTTTATTTTTTTTTATTTTTACTGCTCACATTATTTTTATAAACTCCTTATAGTATATACAACACAACAGAATTTGAATCAATACAAGGCAAGAAATCTTGCACAATTTGTTGATGACGGCGATGGCATGGCGACATACTTATCGTCATGATATAGTAGAGATTCCCGTTATGACCTATACTGTGTCGGTGTGACGTAAAACCTATTTAAACAAACAAACTACTCCCTTTATGAATACAATAAAAATCGTTTCTGATAATTTGAGCAACAAATAAAATGAGTTTTAAAATTATGTTTGCATAATTGTATGTAATATGATGACGTGCAATGTACCACGGACTTTCATAGTCAAATAAAATCCGTGCATGTACAAATGGATAGTTCTGTTCTGTTCTGATCATTGATAGTGTGTGACTTTAATTTTTTTTAATTACATTATTTAACACTCTTAATTCTGAAACTGTGATTGACAAAGACATAATGATATATGTTAATGGTAAAATAAAGAAGATTTGTGTCTTCCTTGAAACCATTTAATAATTTTGATAAGCCATATGCATCCTAAAATAAAATTGCTAATATTTTATGTGATTTTTGACTATCACAAAAGTCCGTGGTGTAAGTTGTCAAAAGGTGATATACAAGTACCTTATTAGTTAAAATTTAGTTTTTAATAGTTAAATATAAACATTGACCGGCTGGTGTCATTATGATTTTCATCCTTAATTGTATAATAAAAAATAAAGTGATTGCGAAGCGTTCTGTAACGTTTAACGCAAATTTGAAATGTAATAGTTTATAGGAATGCAGTTGTATATGACAACAATAAATCATCATATGTCTCATGCAGTCATTTAACTTATTCTATCAAAAAAGCAAAGATATTTTTTTCATTTGATGCCTTTTATTAGTAGATGTTTTATTAAAGACAAACATCTTTCAAAAATATTAACATTTAATTACTTGTTTGTACAAACTATTTTAATGGGATGTACCTGTTCATTACATAATATGATTCTCTGAATAAATGCTGTACATTTATTTCTTATGCTTTAACCCAAACAAAAAGAAAAGATTTGAACAAATCGGTGATTGGAATGACATGCAAACGAGCTCATCAATCGCATAGTCAATCGGTCCAAAATCAATTTAATCAATCGGTCCAAAATAAATTTACCAGCAATAAATCGGTATCAATCGGTCCAAAATCAGTATAACAGTAATAAATTGGCCAAAAATCAGTTTAATCAATCGGTACAAAATCAATATACCAGTAATAAATCAGTCAAATATCGGTATAATAAATCAAAACAAAATCGGACTTTATTATCATTATACCAATCAATCGGTTTGAAATCTTATCTAAATCATTGTTTAGAATTTCCTTCCAAAATTCAGTTGAGACTTTATTAGAATCTAGTGGTATAAAAAATGAACACATTTGTTTTAATAAAACTAACAAAATTGCAATTTCTGTCTTAATTAATCCAAATTAATTTGTTTCATTATTAATGTAGGAAAATATATGAAAAAAAGAGTAACTATTAGCCAATAAACACTAAAATAACTTTATTTTCATTCATGAACTTTATTTGACTACAAAAACATATACATGTATAACAAAATAATGAATTAAAAAGAATTATCATAAAAGTTATTAGTATGATCTTTCCCAGTAAACACACGATTAAGACCTTTTTTAATGCAAATTGTCATCAAACCAAGTAAAGTTACAATGATCAGTGAACAATAACCGAACAGATTCGGGTTCAGTTGTTTTTAACAAGAAAATTTTATGTGTAAATACACACATGTATAATAGAAACTGATATAGTGTATATATTCATGAATTGAGGATATACAAATAAACATTCACAATAATATTTGAAACGATCGCAAACGCGATGATAAAAATAACAACCCAAATCGGCCTAAGAAGCTTAGATGATGTCCCGGCCTGAATACTAATACTAATGTCACTGTACCGTAGGCAATATATCGGCCCAGATATCTTTAGTTTCTTTGTGTTTTGGCAATTAGTGCAATTAAAGCTATTTTCATTAATATGTGATACTCATATGTTCTTAATGAACCCATTTTGGTCCGTTTTGATAACTTTGTAAAACATGTGAAAGAATAAAAAAATATTCATTTATGAGTCTTCTTCTGAATACTTATTTTTGTCAATCACATTTGAAGCATTTTGTTTACGAATAAAATCTTTTAATTATGGAATATAATAGGCCTTTTGATTGGTTGTTTTGTAAGGTTATAGGTTAAATGATATTAGGTCAGGTTAAAGGTCAAATTGTTTTACTATGCTAGATAGTTTTGGCGCCATTCTTGTTACAGTTTTGTCAGACATGTTTGAGATTAGACGCTTTTTCAAATTTTAAAGTCAAATTAGTTAACCTAAGGTTAGAGGCTAAATGTAAGGAATGTAAATGTCAATTGGTTCGTTCATATCGTCCCATTTTAATGGTGGCAAGCCAATTTCTGATTTGTTTGCAGTCAGAGATGGTGGGTTACATTTAAATTTTGAAGGAACTCGTCGTTTGCGAAATTTCTTCATTCAAACTTTTTGACATTTACTTAAGGGTAAATTTTCTATGTAAACCAAGTTTTTTTTGTTCACAGCAAGTGGTGCAGATTTGTCATTTATACAGAAATATTTTATATTTACAGATAGGCATTTTTCTGAGTTTGTTGCTTTGATCAATAGCTACTGTTGCTTTTAGGGGTATAACTTGTGTATCCATGTGTATATATAGTTTGTTGATATAATAAGTAGTTTGTGGCTTTTCTTTGATTCCTTTGAATATTGTGATATTAGTCATTTTGGGTAAATTGATGTGTAGGTTAGGGCTTGAAGAAAGTATATTATTCCTATAGTATTTTTCGATACTCTTATGGTAGAAGTATCAGTATTTCACCTAGGGGTTTTCCCTTTTAATGGAGGTATTGTACTTCTTTAAGGGTTCCTGGACAAGTGGTAACGGTAACTGGACGTTACCCTTGTTCTTGTTTGGGTTGTTGTTTCTCTGATAACGTACACGCCTTCAGATGTTCCATATAACTTCTTAAAAATCAATCTTAGGTTAGTACATTATTGATGTTTATAATTTACTTTTTTCTTGGGTCTTTACGGTGAAGGGATTCTGAAGGCTTGTTGTTTTAATGTTTGTATGTATACTTGTTTATATTTATGGATAGATGTTCTTATGTTCATATATGCTTCGCATTAATTTGTTGTTTCTTAAATTTTGCTTTTTTTGGCTGGGAGTTGGCGGATTTGTTGTATTTCATACTAGTTGTTTAGCAGTTATAGGTCACTGTAACATTAATATGTGAAAGGATTTGATACATCAGGTGACTTTCTGTTCTAATGGAAAATCTTGTCTAGTTGAATTTAATAAGATATTCATTAAATGAATAAATTATTATTATGCTTTTGTGTTTAACGTGTCAGTTAAAATTTATCATTATTTATCATTGTGTTTCTGGTTATGACATTATTGTCAACATAGTCTCTGTTTCAATATTTTTGAAAATAATGCCTTTGAAGACATTGTGTACACCGGTCTTACTGACGATGTTTGAGAGACCAATGTGTATACAATGCTTAGAAGAAGGATAGCATTTGACCATGTTCAACCGCCGTATTTACCGAAGTTTGGCGGGAAATACCGAATACAGCGATTGGTTTAGTCTGGATTACCTGCCCTTTTCTCTGCGTTCCTCTGCGTTCAGTAGAATTTATAGTACGACGGGAACCAGACTACGATTGGTTCGGCTACAGAAAAAACGTTGTTTATCCCTTACAGTCTTACTTCCCAAAATTGAACTTTCAGTAACTCGATTGCCTTCTGACAACAGCTATTACAGAAGAAAGTAAGTATGTTTTGCATGCAAAGAGGATTATCAAACTACATCGTCAAATCTTGTTTTAGCATATTGGCATGACAATACATGCAGCAATATTTACGCTTACTCATTTGAGGTTTATTGACGATTCGTAATCAAAATAATTCGAACCAAAGAAAACGTGTGCATTTACTAAATTCTTACATACATTACAATGGGAAAATATAGCATGATATATATATATAAATATAGATCAGAAAAGGGGGAAATCAATTTCCAACAACTAACTATGGAATTTACCCACACATTGGTTTCAATTCAACAGGCTGGTGAAAATGCTAGTCCAACTAATTGTACTGCGCGACGAGATATTGTGCTATTTTCGTGTCTGGGCAATATCTCGCCTCTACGTACAACATAAAAAGTACCTTTTCTGTGGTGAAATTTGCGCCGGGATTTTGAGCGCAAGCTTTGGACCGTGTAAAATCGTATGAGAATTCATATTTGAATAAATTTGTTACGATACCTTTAAAGATCATTCATTTCTACATCAATTTCATGTTTTATTTGTGAAAATCTTCCTAACATAAAGATTTTGATAGAAAAGTAAACACATGCACCATCAAAATAAAGACATCGCCGCTAATGTCACGTGACAAATACGCTGTTGATAACTACACTGGTGTGTATGCGGTACTGCGTTACTGAGAAACGACGAAACACTCTTGGTAAAATATCAAGTTAAATGTTATATTTAAGACATTTATTTATGCAAAAATTAATAATTATGATAGGATGAAAATATTATTTTATTGGAGCAGATGCACCACATTCGTTATTGTCAGAGCGTTCTTAGAAATAACAAAATCATTATTATCTTTTATAGAAAAGCTACTCTGTAAATGGACTCCTCACTAAACCGTTTCTTGTTTATAAAAAAAATATTTTGGTCAGCTTTCCAAGTAAATATAAGACATGGGACCTATTGGTATCTATAGATTTTTTTCCACGATTATGATGGAAATAGGGATATGATAAGAGCAGAAACGTGAGGTTTATATGTTTAAACAGCAACGTACGGATTCCTTGCGCCTTTGCGACTACGAGAAAACACCATTCTAAGGAATTTAACAGTCTGTTATTTATAATCGGGTTGATTAACTATTAAACGATACTTTCAATGTTCAAAATAATTTTTATCAATAATAAAACGAATAAGCGTGAAACGCGGTGCCTCGACATTATACATGTATGTGCGAAAACAAAATTCCACGTAAATTTCTTTTTTTATATCTTATCCACGCAGGCCCATAATTCTGGATAGTTTTATCCAAAAAGCTTTCAGAAGATGTTTTTTAGAAAGAAAAAGACACACACAAACGAAGGTATGAAAATTGTTTTAAAATGACCGGTACATGTAGCAGAGAAAAAATACTCGGAAATTTATTTCATGAAACAGGTTGCCCCCGTCTTATTTTGCTGTTGTTATTGTTTTTTGTTTTGTTTTGCAAAAGTCTTTCATAATGTTGGTATACAGTAAATATTTATCCCATACAATTGACTTTTATGCTAAGAAATTATTTTTCTTTTATAAAATACATGCATGGCGAGGTGAGATTTGAAGAATCAACGCGGTTATTTACCATGTTACATAAAACAAAACGCTGCGCCGCTAATTTCTTTCACAGACACTTTGGGTGTGGAGCTTTAAAATCCAAATAAAATGTATAATTGTCAATACCAGCACATGTACTGATCATATATATATATAAAAAACTAAATATAAGCCGATTTGAAAAAAAAATATATTTCAACGTCTATAATATTACACAAGATAAAAATGTTCGCCAGAAAAAATCCGCACACCTGCCGTCAAAAACACCATGTATTTTATTCTGTTTCCAATATTTACACAAAATCCTTTCGTCCATCGACACAAAAGATATAAATCTTCAAGATGATGGTCAATTTTAAACTTCAACGGTAATATAAACAACGCAACTGGCAAAATAAAAATCAAGATTGTCGCCGTTTTACTCCATCTACAAAATCTTTCGACAAATTCAAACGTGGCTCCATATACATTTTATTTGGATTTTAAAGGCGTTTTTAGCTTCACACCCCAAGCGTCTGTGATTTCTTTGATTCTTGTCCAATCTTATAAGATTTAAGGGTTATTCAACACTATTACTCATTTTAAACATACTATGATACAGATTGTTACTGCCCAAATATAAAAGGTGTTGCTTTGGAAAACGAACTAATAAAATCGGTAATAAATCACGGCGCCTCTCAGCTCTTTTTTCTATTTTTTTTTTTTTTTTTTTTTTTTTGAGTTTTTGATAAAGAACAAAAATTAAGATTTTAACCTTCCAGTAAATTTAGAAGAAAACCAGAAATAAAGTTCCTAATAATTAAATGCCACAACTCAAAACTTAAAAAGTTGGCATATCTTGCGTAAATTCAAAGCGTATTGGTAAGCCGGAAAATGTACTGAGGAAACTCGGGACCGTAACACATTTAAATTCTTAACACCGTTTAAAACAACCTTCATAAATGTATTATAGAAAGTAATTTAAGCATAAAATTATCGTCTTTGAAATAAAATCATCAAGTATATTTATAATTATAAATTGAAAAATAAATACATGTAACTAAGACAATCTAAAAATAACTTCTTCTCAATTTGAACCGTGTCAGCATGGAAAATTGTTTAACTGATTCCGGAAAGGAATCACGGCTCGAATTTAAAAAAAATCTAATTTATTCATTTTAAAACTTAATCTTATAAATTTATAGTTGACACAAAGAAATTAAGTAAGGAAGAAACAGGACTGCGCATCAATTATTAATAGTGTCAACATTTCCGAAGTGTATATTGGCCAGTGTTCCGGTGTCGGTGTTGTGGAATACATGTAGTTGACACATTTTAAAAATAAATATTAGGTTGAATATATTTTCTATACCGGACAAAACTTTTCTGCAAAACTTTTCTGGAACATCGCTTAAACAACACCAAATATCCAGGCCATTACGGCATGCTATGATAAAAGTCTTTTATTACACGGATAAATGGTACATGTACACAGGTTCTTTCAGATACAGACAAACGAAAAATGGGTGCTCGGAGTAAAGAGTTTTATTTTTCTGAAAACAGTTTGAGGAATGAAACATTAACGCAAGAATTTACAATTTGAATTCTTTCATAGCGTAATGCACGTTGAAAACACAAACTTTCCTATAGGAAAGATTTGCTGTTTTTAATACTCAGCAAGTTTGTGACTAACATAATTATACTAACATAGATAATACTACAGAGTGATGACAATTTACATTTTAATGAAATACAGTATTTTGTTTATCCTTAACCTTTAATAAACATATTTATAAAAAAGAGGACTAAATTAAAAGTTCCCCCGCATCATTTTAAAGATTTCTATCATGAATTACAAAAATATTTAAAGATAATTTCCTGGCGATTTATTTTATTTTATTGTAGCAATAAATATAATTAATAATAACATCATTTAAGAAAAAAATCCACTTTTTAATAGTTTTTACATATTTTTTTAGCCACGCAAAAGAAAATGACAACATTCACGCACGTACCGAACAATATCGATTTTTAGCGTACATGTTACATTACTGTAGCAACATCACAATATGGCGGTGTTGTTACACAAATGAGACGGTGAAATGAAACTAACGTGGTTTACTTTATTCTAAGTTGATAGTCTGGCACTTTTTGTGCTGTTAATTCCTTAAAATTGTATTGTTGAATAAATTCTTAGTTTAAATTGTCTGCATTTTCACATTTACATCGAAATCCACGTTTCACCACAGAAAGGTCTCCTTTTGGTTTTGACGTTAAAGCGAGATTCTGCCCCAGAACGAAAATATCTCAGAATCAAGCTTTGGCACGTCAATATATTTTGACTAGTGAAAATGCCCGATTGGCTTATGACATAAAAAGTCATATTTCTAGAAAGTAATAAAGATATTTCTTTTCAAATTTGTTTGTTTATTAAGAATTATGTTTGACCTTAACAGAAATAAAAATATTTCGCAACTCAATTTTGTGGGAATTATTTCCCTTTTTTATGTTTGTATAACACATAATTTTTCAAGTCCTTAAAAATATGTTACTTATACAAAGTGTAAAACAAAATAGCCTATTAGGTTAAATAATTTTTTATGCTCTTATTCATTGCGCCAACATCTGTCAACATACATTTCATTCAGCTTTCAAAGAAAACTTCAAATTATAATGTGCAGTGTCAAAGAATTATCTAAATATAAATGCAATAAACAGAATATTTAATCCAAATAAATAGAAGAAAGGTACTGGCGCAATAATCCAGAGCAAAATGAAGTTGTTGGACACATTTCTACTTAGAATTTTGCATTACAACATAATTTTTATGAACTTTATATATTTTGTTTCCCATACATGCCATAATTTTTGGACAGCTTTCCGGGACACTTTTCATCGCGGCAATAATGGATGTGTAGGCAGTTGTGGAAAAGGGGGGGGGGGGGTGTCAATCGTATAACGTTATTAAATTAGGACGACTTTCTCCTGAATTTTAATGATAAACAGTTAACTTACTAGTTTTATAAGTTGTCTTTTAGGTCGACATATTTATCATTTTAAAAGTATTTCTTTATTTAATTCATTATTCCCTAAAAGCAAGTAAGTTGTAAGTTATAAACCCGGTGAATGGGCGCAGCCATGTTGTTCGCCCGTTATATCTTAAAGTCATGATAATTACTACATGTCACGTAATGCAATTCTTCCAGTCATAAAAACAAACACAGCAAGGTGATTTATTTGACACCTTTATTTTTTTTATTTGATAGATATATTTACATTGTTTGTAATAATTAGACTTTCGGCAATTTAGCGATTGATCTAAAAATTAATGAATATCGGGGATTATTGGTAAGGGCCGTAAACAATTAATTAACCCGACCATTAAACGCTGCCGAATTCAACAGAGAATGTTAATTGCCGATGCATGAAGAAT